TCTTAAGAGTGGTTCTCTTGAGTGTGAGTTTTAGGTTCTAGTTATTTAAGTAAGTGTGTAATATCTTATTTAAATGCTAGATTCAACCCCAAGTTAAGATAAGGGTGTGTAATATCCCTTAACACCAATTTGGTTTGTTTTTCTTTCCAAAGAAGTACCTTGTTCCTGTCTCGAGCTGTCAAATAATCGATTATCCCCATTGGAAATCGATTATCTATCCTTCGTGAAACACCTGCAGGTTTCAATAGTCGATTATCAGTCTCCAATAATCGATTATCAGCCTTTCCAAAAAAAAAAACATGCCATCCTCAATAATCGATTGACACCTCCTGTAAATCGATTATCTCCCCTCCCAGAAAATCCCCAGAAAATTGCCCCCAGAAACTGAAGCCCCTGATAATCGATTATCCACTTTGGACAATCGATTATTTCTTCCCTGTTCTTAACAAGATAGTTCCTTTAAAAAAAACCTGAGCTTGGGTATAACATTTGGTATCAAAGCTAAGTGTTGAACATCCCCAAGGGCCACTCACCAGCACTCCCTTCCCTCTTTCCTAAAAACCCCCAAAGCCAAACTAAACGACCTTCCTTACCTTTTCCCACTTCAACCATGTCGAATGAATCCCGAACTATGTCCCATGAAGAGCTCATTGCCTCAAATACAGCCTTGAAAGCCCAAGTAGAGTACTTGGCTAAAGAGGTAGCCAAGCTTACGAAGATGAAACTCAACGAGCTCCAAGGAAGTGACCGTGAAGAAGACGTTAGTTCTAGTGGAACCATGAAGCCTAAAGCCAATGAAGGTTCTGACTTCAAAGTTGACATTCCAGCTTTTGAAGGGAAGAACGACCCGGACGAGTTCCTCGAGTGGCTAGAAACAGTGGAACGCGTCTTTGACTTCAAAGATGTTTCCGACGAAAAGAAGGTCAAGATAGTGGCCTTAAAGTTCCAGAAGTATGCATCAACTTGCTGGACTAATACCTGCACCAAGAGAAGAAGAAACGACAAGGAACCGGTGTCCACGTGGATAAAGATGAGGTCCCTTCTAAAGAAGAAGTTTTTACCCGCCGAATATGTTCGTGAGAATTTTGCTAAGCTTCAAACGCTTAGGCAAGGTTCTAAGTCCGTTGAAGAATACAACCGGGAGTTTGAAGAGCTCTTGCTGAGGTGTGACTTGCAAGAAGATGACGAACAAACCTTTGTTCGTTACCTATTCGGCTTAAACCTACAAATAGCCAACACGGTGGAGTTGCAAAGTTACGACTCTCTTGAAGAACTCACGAAGTTGGCCCTCAAAGTTGAAGCTCAACATATGAAATCCAAAGCCCTTTTTTCCAAAAATAACACCCCTTCCCCACGGCCCTACTCCTCCACATCCAAACCACCTTACCCTTCACCAAAATTACCTTACACTACCCCCAAAAACCCCACTACTGCCCACGGCCCAAACCCCTCCTCCTCCTCCCCATCTACCTCAAGGAATCCCTCCTCCTCTTTCACACCCCGGACTGAT